GTTGGAACTATGGGGAAATATTGATAGAAAATGGGGGGGGGGAGGCTTAAAAAAAATAAACAAGTATGAAAAAAAAGAAAGCAAGGGTCTTTGTTATCTACCTATTTTGTGGTTCTTATTCTTGGAAGTAACTACTGTCACCTCAGATTTTTACTAATCCAAAAACTAATAATTGACATTAAAAATTAAGTTCTATTATCAGAATTTGAAACCATACTTAATTTAACTCTTCTAGATCCATAAGTGGCTTAAATTGTTTATAATACAGTCTGTCTTGAGGAAATGAGGCATCCATTTATTATTTTGGGTGCCTGCTATATGCTAGTGTGAAAAATGACAGGAATGAGGCCACTTTAAAATGGAGCCAAAGCAGCCATTCAAAAGGAACTGTCTTGCTCCTTGTGTTTCTTGAAATTTTGGACTGACTGGGCCAAACCACTGTTTTGCAAACAGTCGTAAAGTCAGCAGGACAGTCTGATCATAAGGAGTAATGACTGTGGACTTTCTATCTGAAGATAGAATCAGCAAGCCATTGTGTGTAGCCAATAGTAACTCGGCTTATCAGTACTAATATGAATTTTTTTTCTTTTCATATAATTATTCCTTTCCTTTTTCTCATAAAACCCTCTTCCTTTCACCCTGTAATCAGGGCACTATTTGAGTTTCTGCCTAAAACTGCTCCCCAAATTACAATTCTTTGACCCCAAATAAATGCTTGTCTCATTTCGGCTTTTAAAATTTAGGTTAACACTAGGCCTTGTGCTTCATATACAGTGCAGTTACATTACTATGGGTGTTCTTTCTCAAAGCACTATTTCTATGACATCAAACTAATTATCAGCTGAAAATACACATTCAAATGTATGATAAACATAAAATTTATTCATGTCCCGCCATGAAGGTTCAGGAAGCATTATCTCTTCTTTTTCATACTGTACTTCTCTTTTAAGAAGGTAGATATGGTTAAATCTCTCACAAACCCTTTTATTGCAAGGGGTGAATCTTGAGACCCTTGAAATCTTTGGAAAGTCTTGATAAATCTTGTTTTTAAAATGTGGACAGAATATAATTCTCTGGATGAACCCGATAAGTGATGTTACAGCAGAGTGTCTCAGCTTCAGCAATGTTGACATTTAATACTGATTCTTCCGTTTCTGCTAACCCTGTTCTAATAGTGGCCTGTCAGTGAACTAAAACACGGAGGATATATCTATGTTGAACTCTTAAAAAAAATGGTAACCCATCTTTTTGTGTAAGGCCCTAGAACCTTATGTCAACAAATTAAAGATTTGTTGTTGTTACTCTTTCCAATAGTTCTGACAGGTTTATAGAATCACTCATCACTTAAGTGATCCTTTGCTTAGATACTGTTAAAATATTAGGGAATGACTTGGAAATGTTCAGAGTATGGTTTAGATGCTACTGTAACATTCCTGTAAGGTATTTACATTGATTTATTGGTATTGTCTTATTCTGATGATGTGCTATTTTTTCTTCATTGTAAAATCTAGTTAGCTAGTTTATGTGATTTCAAAAAAAAAAAAAAAAAAAGATAGGCCTGCCTGTGTGGCTCAGTAGTTGAGCGTCATGGTTCAGTTCCCGGTCGGGGCACATGCCTGTGTTCCAGGCTCCATCCCCAGTTGGGAGCATGCAGGAGGCAGCTGATCAATGATTCTCTCTCATCATTGATATTTCTATCTCCCTCCCTCTTCATTCCTCTCTGAAATAAATTTAAAAAAATACATTTTTTAAAAAGATAGCTATTGATTCCACCTAATCTCTAGTGTTTAAAACGTAGAGTCATAATCTTTATGTTCAAGTATACCTAACTCTCAGATACTTAGATTTGTCTATTAAGTGACATTTAAAAACATTTTGCTTGATTAGTTATTCCTTTGAAACTTTCAGTTAATTATGTTAATTTTTAAACATGACTGGCAAGTCTCAGTATTTAGAGGAAATCCTCATAGTTGTTGCTATTAGCTGAGTTAGTTATTTAAGACACTTGGTGTAGAGGTTAATATTGTAGCACAAATTGTTTCAATACAGTATCTTTTAAGGTCCTTTCCAACTTAACATTTTATATTTCAGGATTCTCCTGATACAGTCAAAATGGTAAAGGCTACAGTTTTGTAGACTTGAGCTTTAAAAATATATATATATGTTCTGTGAAAAGCTATTTTCTTCTGATGATAAATTAGAAAAGTAGTTAGTTGAATGAAGGTACAAATTCATTGTATTTATGATGCTCAATGGAATTTCACTGACCATTTCTTAAAAGAATGCTGTTTATACCTAAAAATAATCTGAAAGGGCCTGGCCAGTGTGGTTCAGTGGTTGAGGGTTGACCTATGAACGAGGAGGTCACAATTCAATTCCTGGTCAGGGCACATGCCCAGGTTGTGGGCTCGATCCCCAGTTCAGGGGGCAGCTGATGGATGATTTTCTCTCATCGATGTTTCTATCTCTCTCTCTCTCTTGAAGCTGGACTTTCTCCCTATATGTATCTGCTCTCTTTTTAAATAATTTAGTTGGATGGGTGCCAGGGAAGAGGAAGGCTCCATAAGCTCTATATATTTCAATCAGTTCTGAATATAAGTTATTTTCAAATACTTAGGAGCCTTTTCAGAATATTGTCCTGTGGCCCTAGCTCAGTGCTTGGCATGTCAGCATTTTGAAAAACCCTATCTTAACTCTGGTGCCGTGTCACATATAGAAATTTTTTGATATTTGCAACCATAGTAAAACAAAGATTTAAATTTTGGTATTTATTTTATATATTTAAATGCCATTTAACAGAAAAATCAACCAAAAAGATGAGTTCGCGTGTCACCTCTAACACGCGTGTCATAGGTTCACCATCACTGCCCTAGCTGAATGGATTGAGCATCAGCCCGCGGACTGAAGGGTCCTGGGTTTGATTCTGGCCAAGGGCACATGCCCAGGTTGCGGGCTCGATCCCCAGTAGGGGATATGCAGGAGGCAACCGATCAATCAATCACTCTCATCATTGATATTACTATGTCTCTCCCTCTCCCTTCCTCTCTGAAATAAATAAAAATATATATTTTTTAAAAAGAATATTGTCCTGTGAAAGAGGATCTCCTTATCAATTCAACATATACTTATATAAAAACCATGGGTGGTGTTCATCACATACAGATGAACAGCCACGACTGAGCGGAAGGAAGTCAGTCCTACAGGGGTTGTCTTGGCAACGGCTGCGCCCTCCCCCAAGCTGTTTCCCGGAGCTGTTTCCTGTAAGGGCGGAGTTTGAGGCAGGAACCCGCCCTGGGAGCATGGAGGCAGATCTTTCTAAAGTGTGCTGCGTCAGCACAGGGTGAACCTGAGTGGGGCGGCTGAAAGGCTTAGAAAAGACAGACAAGAGAATGAAAGCCGGGTCTCGGTGGGACGATGCTTCTCTGAGAGACAGCGACCACGCCCACAGCCATGCCTTTATTTTATAGCAGAAGCTACCAGGCAAAGTAAGGGCGTGACCAAGATGTTTACATACATTCTTCTGGGTTTCAATCCTACTCAACTACATGCACCTGAACTCTATCAAGCCCACATCACTCAGGCATGTGGGGCCACGTGTTCCGACCATAGGTTCAAGCTTACAACTACAGCTGTTGGCTATAATTGTGCTGGGAGGGCCCTGCCCTCCAAGCTGGGACTTGCACATAGCAATGAGAGGACTGTGCCCTCTCCTCAGTCCAAGGCTTGAACCTGTCCAAAACACTGTAGCGGCTCCCCACAATAAAGTTTTAATTCTCTTTCTTGTTACTAATGTTGTGGCCCCACCCCATAACAAAGAAACAAAGGAAAATTTCCCCATCGAATTTCTGAATAGTATTACTCCTTCGGGAATGCCGTGTCATAAATTAAAATTGAAAGTGGGTGCAATCATCATGCTATTGAGAAATCTCAATAGTAAATGGGGTCTTTGTAATGGTACCAGATTTATTATCAAAAGATTATGACCTAACATTATCAAAGCTGAAGTATTAACAGGATCTGCAGAGGGAGAGGCTGTTCTGATTCCAAGAATTAATTTGTCCCCATCTGACACTGGCCTCCCATTTAAATTGATTCGACGACGGTTTCCCGTGATGCCAGCATTTGTGATGACTGTTAATAAATCACAAGGACAAACTCTAGACAGAGTAGGCATGTTCCTACCTGAACCCGTTTTTGCACATGGTCAGTTATATGTTGCTTTCTCTCGAGTTTGAAGAGCATGTGATGTTACAGTTAAAGTTCTAAGTACTTCATCACAAGGGAAATTAGTCAAACACTCTGAAAGTGTTTTCACTCTTAATGTGGTATACAGGGAGATATTAGAATAAGTTTAATCACTTTATCAGTCATTGTTTGCATCACTGTTGTTTTTATATCATGTTTTTGTTGTTTTCATATTATGTTTTTGTCATTTTTATATCATGCCTCTGTTGTTGTTATATCCTTTTGTTACTGTTTATGTATTAATAAATTTATATATGATTTCCATATACATTTTACTAATTTCCTTTCATCTCTCACACTTCTGTTATAGAGAAAGGGCAAATAGCAATGTTAAAATATCTCTGCTAATTAATTCCCCTTTTTTAAAAAAATATATTTTATTGATTTTTTACAGAGAGGAAGGGAGAGGGATAGAGAGTTAGAAACATCGATGAGAGAGAAACATCGATCAGCTGCCTCCTGCACACTCCCCACTGGGGATGTGCCCGCAACCAAGGTACATGCCCTTGACCGGAATTGAACCTGGGACCCTTGCGTCCACAGGCCGATGCTCTATCCAGTGAGCCAAACCGGTTAGGGCAATTAATTCCCTTTTAATGTGCACGAATTTCGTGCACCGGGCTACTAGTTGAGAAATAAGGGTAAATTGAGAACATTGGTAATAAACACATAGATCCAGAATATATTCTTCCAATATGAGATGATTAAAAATGAAGCTTGAAATTCTCTAATATTTCTTTTCTTTTTCTGTTAAGTTGCTATAGCCCAAGGTGGAACAATCCAGATTTCTAACCCAGGATCTGATGGTGTTCAGGGACTACAGGCATTAACAATGACAAATTCAGGAGCTCCTCCACCAGGTGCTGCAATTGTACAATATGCAGCACAGTCAGCTGATGGCACACAGCAGTTCTTTGTCCCAGGCAGCCAGGTTGTTGTTCAAGGTATATTTTATTAATCTGATACCTTTAGAATACCTGTGGATTACTATACCACACCATTTAGTGGTGATTTTATAGTTTTCTGAAATATACAGGAGGTAGATGGAATTGGGGGGGGGGCGCTTAATGGCTTGAAGAAGAAATATTTTAGTATATTAAATGAGTTAAATAAATTATATGAATTTTGTTTTTAGCAGGTTTTACTGGCTCTAAAGGAAAGTCAAAATCAAAGTAGCATGATAAAAAAGGGAGTTGAATGTCTGAGTGAATTCTTTAATTAAATATCTTTTATTTGAGGGTGATAAATGTACCTAATATAAGTTTATTACCTAGTCTATAAAGATTTGAGTATCCAGTCTATGATGCACTGAATTTGGGCCTTTCCCAAGCTGTTATACTTAAGTCTTGTAGATACCTCATTTCAAAACAATTGCTGATTTTTTTCTTTACACTGTTCTTAGTATAGTTGAATTCTGAGGTACCTGATCTACTTCTTATGGAAGCTCATAGTAGTGAAATAAAGCAGTTGTATTGTAGCCCTAAGTATTTTAGGGGAACCCAAGATTTCAATTAAATTTGAGTTATACATTATTTTAATTTCATTCAGTTGTGTTTATAATAACTATGTGTTTATTACAACTTTCAAAATTCTGCATTTTAAATTTAATTCTATTCTTCTTGGACCATTTGCTGAGGACTTACATAGCACTAATTTTAAGAGGAGTATTATTAGTTCCTTTAGTTTGAAAATCTTCCAAGTGGTTGGGGGGGGCAGATTATAATTGATATCTCTCTTATTAATTAGTTTTACTCCTAGGTATTTTGGAAGTTAATGTGGACTGTAATAAAAATGTATGAAGAACTGAAGGGGTAGCATTTATGGTGTATAAAAAAATTTATACTACTTACTCAATACTCTAATGCAGTGGTTCTCAACCTTCTGGCCCTTTAAATACAGTTCCTCATGTTGTGACCCAACCATAAAATTATTTTCGTTGCTACTTCATAACTGTAATGTTGCTACTGTTATGAATCGCAATGTAAATATCTGATATGCAGGATGGTCTTAGGCGACCCCTGTGAAAGGGTTGTTCGACCGCCAAAGGGGTCGCGACCCACAGGTTGAGAACCGTTTCTCTAATGTTTTCTTTGAATGTATATTAAAGCCACCCATTACAGATGCTCCTTGGCTTATGGTGGGATTACATCCTGAAATGCCCATCGTAAATTGAAAATACAGTAAGTTGAAAATGCATTTAATACACCTAACCTACTGAACATCATAGCTTAGCTGAGCCTACCTTAAATGTGCTCAGTTGGGCACTTTAGACACAGTTGGGCACAATCATGTCACACAGTGAGCACTGTAGACCCTGTGATCACCTGGCTAACTGGGAGCTGGGACTCACTGCACCTGCCCAGCATCGGGAGAAAGGATTGAACCTAACATCATTGGTCCTGGAAAAGATCAAAATTCAAAATTCCAAGTATAGTTTAAGTATAAAAACACCACCACAAACTTGATACTTCAACAATGAGAGTTTTTTTTAATTGTTTTTTTATTTTGCATAGATAACACACAAGTTTTGTCCTTTTGGGATTTATTTAAGAACGTTTTTTTCTTCCATAAGTCACCAATATATTTTTCTACTTAAGTTTTATTAGCTTCATAGTTTTACCTTTCACATTTAGGTCCTTAATTCACCTGAGGTTCACCTCTGTAGTATTAGGCAGGGATCTATTTTTATTTTTTCTCTACACATGGAGCCACTTTTCCCCTACTGATGGTTTATCCTTTTCCCATTAATTTATGGGGCAATCTTAATTATACAATAGGTTCTCATGTATACTTGGATCTGTTTCAGAACTCTCTATTTTGCAGTGTTGGTCTCTTTTTGTATATGCCAGTATCATGCTGGTTTATTATCTCACAAAACAAGTTCCTCTTTTTTGTCTTTTTAAAGTGCTGATCGAGCTTTTGTAAACCATTATTTTTTGATATGCATTTGGAATACGTTTGAGTTTCTAAATAATAATAATAATATAAAACCAATGATAAGATGTATTTCATTTATAGATTAATTTAGTGAGAACTTAAGCCTTTCTTTTTTTATTGAGGTATAATTGACATATCACATGATATTAGTTTTAGGTGTACAACATAATGATTTGACATTTGTATAAGTCACAATAAAGGATCATCACAGAAGGTCTAATTAACACCTATCCCTACTACAAATTTGTTTTTCTTGTGATGAGAACTTTTAATATCTACTTTTTAGTAACTTTGAAATATACAGTGCAATATTATTCACTATAGTCACCATGCTACTAACATGTCCAGGTTTTTGTTGCTATTTTGAATGATACCTTTCTATTATATGTTCCAGTTGTTGCTGGTGTAGAAAAATATTATTGATTTTTTAAAAAAGTATCTTGCCTTTTAACTTTTGAAACTTTAATTACTTTAATAATATGCTGATTATTTTTAATCTATCTGTGATACTATGTGAATATTTATATCAGATACAAATGTTTTGTTTCTTCCCTTCCCATCTCTATTCTTCTTGTTGTCTTTTTCTCCTTGTCTTGCCTCTTCTTTTCCTTTCCTTTCCTTCTTTTTAAAAATAATGATGGTCACCCTAGCGGTTTGGCACAGTGGATAGAGCATCAGCCTGTGGACTTAGGGGTCCTGGGTTCGATTCTGCTCAAGGGCACATACCCAAGTTGTGGGTTCGATCGCCAGTAAGTGGCTTGCAGGAGGCAGCCAATCAATGATTCTCTCTCTTCATTGATGTTTCTCTCTCTCTCTCTCTCTCTCTCTCTCTCTCTCTCTCTCTCTCTCCCTTCCTCTCTGAAATCAATAAAAATATATTTAAAAAAAAATAATAATGACGGCCAAGAGTTCTAGTTCTGTGTGAAACAACAGGTCAGTGGGAATTTTGTCTTACTCTCTATCCCATTGAAAGGTCACAGCAATTTATTTTTGAGATCTCAGGTCTTATCTTGATTGGTCCCTCTGCAGTATTTAACACTGTTGACCTCTGCTTCCTTCACTTCTCTGATACTGCATTCTTACCATTTTTCCTTCTGTCTCTCCTGCCTCTCTTTCAGTCTCCTTTATTGGTCTAACCTTCCTCTGCCCATCTCCTGAGTGTTAGTGGTGTTCCTTGGATTGCATCCTGGGCCAGCTTCCATCTGACTGTGTACTGTCCCGGGTTGAATTCATCCCCGCCATGGCTTCAGCTCACTGTGACTATGCCCCCTGACTCCAACGGGCTACTTAGATATACCTCACACATCTCTGACTTTTAAAATCCAAAACTCCACTCTCCTACCCCAACTCTCCTTTTGTTTACTCTATTTTAGTAATGGATTCTGTCCATTCTGTAGCTTCAATCCAGAAACCTGGATGTCATGCCTTACTCTCCCTCACCTTCTCCATTCATTCTTCCTCCTATTAAATCACTCATCCCTTCACTCTTCTCCACCCCCACTGTCATAATCCCAGTTCCAGCTTCTGTCCCCTCTGACCTGGATTCCTGCAGCAGACTTTGGTCTGCCAGGTGTCTGGCCTGAAGCTGGTAGCTGTGGGGCAGTGTCCTGATTTTCCTAATCATGCCAGAGACAGCATATCCCTTCTCGGTCTGTTTTGGAGGGAATTGTTCATGAAAGTTCAGCTAGGCTCTCTTTCTTCATCCCTCCCAATGATTCTGGGAGCTAATATTTCTTAAAAATAAAAGTATCTGCATTCAACATTTCCCTTTCTCCATTATACTCTTCATTCTGCAGTTCAGAGTGGTATTTCTAAAATTCACATCTAATCACGTTAGCCTCTGGCTCAAAACCCTTCAACAAATGCCTATTACTTGTTAGTCAAAATCCTTAACATGGCCCAAATCTCTGCTTGATCTAGGCCTTACTTCCTCCCTCTCAACTCTTAATGCTGAATTCCTTTCATTTCCTGTCATAGCTGTGTCCTTTCTCCTCTCTAGGGCCTTCACACACAGCCATTTCCCCTGAGACATTGTTCATGTTTCATTTTGGGTAGCACTTCCCCAGGAAGCCTTCCCTGACCACATCTGGCTTAGGTCACCTCTTGCAGTTCCCACTGCAACTTCTCAGGGCATATATCACTGAATTGTGACTCTCAGGGTCCTGCCTAGATGGTAACTTCTGTTTGGACAGGGATTCTTAGTCCCCAGCACAGTCCCTGGCATATGATGAATATTCAGTAGCCATTTACTGAATGAAAATGAAATACTCTTTCTCTAGTGAAAATGTATTAGTTCTGTGTGATGATTAACTGAGTTTATCAGGTATAGGGAATTTATTAAAACTTTACTAATAGTAGTCAACCAAGCAACCAACCTCCCTCTTTCCTTTCCTTCCTTGACCTTTTTTTTACACTAATATTTATTGAGCATCTAAGTGCCAATGTAAAGAAATGTTGAGAGTAATCTGAACTTTGTGAAATTTGAAATAAACCAACTGGTATTCTTGGATCCAAACCCTGAGGTGTGGCTGTGATGACAGAGTCCTTTACAGAGCCTCTGATAGGGGTGATGTCTAAGGTGCTCCCCAGACTTGCTTACATATTAGCAGGACGTCTTCAGTTCATGTGTTCTGGAGAATTATTGGAGATGGGTCCTTCCTGATGTTTCTCTTCCTAAGCATCTGGGTGTCAAGTCCCTGCCTTTACTAGAAGGTGCTTCATTGAATAAGGTAAAAATGTAGTGGGCCCTGGTCAATTTGGTCAGTGGTTAGAGCGTGGGCGCACAGACTGAAGGTTCAACTCCCATGGATTCCTGGTCAAGGGCACATACCTCGATTGCAGGCTGGATCCCCGGCCCTGGTCTCTCTCACATCAATGCTTTTCTCTCCCCACCCTCCCTCCCTCTTCCTAAAAAAATCAATGGAAAAAATACCCTCGGGTGAGGATTTAAAAAAATGTAGTGGAATGACCTTTCATTGACTTAAGGTCAGCTTGAATTCTAAGCATA